GACGGACCCGGTACATAGAAAACCTTACTGTGGATATTACCTCAGTCGAGTGGGGTTGAGAAGTCTCATACCTGAAGAGTTTTGGGAGATATGGTTCATCTTCATACCATACGGGGTATCGAGACGATGATATTTTTGGCACCCATTACTGAACGGGGTATGAGAATGGTCGGGTTAATTGTCAAATCTTGATATTGGGTCCATGAATAGAGTGATATCCTTATGGACCTCCAGGGGTCCTAATAAATAGGTTAAAAGGAAGAATAACTGATCTTATGCATGAAAATAAAACGTCACTTGGTTATTGATCTTTATAGGTTAATTTTAAGAAAACCTGTAACGGTAAGTATGGAATAAAACGTTTTAAAGTTAAATGTATTTACTTAAATTAAGGGTTTCATTATCTTTTTTTATGATTTTTACCAATATTTAATTTTTCGTATTAGTTATTAGTGTGATATTTTTATTGGGTTAGTGTAGTTCACAATTTTATTAACTATTTTATATCAAAAAAATCAAGATTCAGATCTCGATTAGTAAGAAGATTGTGAGTAGTTCACATTCTATACTCCATTTCAAGTGCTAGTGAAGGTTAACTCCTAAGATATTTATTTAATTGTTTTTAATTATCGTTTGTCTTTTTTATGAACATTCTCATAACTCTATTGGACATTCTAATTACCATGTAAGGAATATAAACCCTGATATTATTGCTTGCTTATACATTTAGAAATACAAATTTATTTCTTTTGAGTTTCAGGCTTTTACAAAACTATACAAGTTATTAAGAAAATTTTGTGACTAATAATTAAATACGAAGTTATTAATAGAAGTAAGAGTTATCTTTTTATTTAATAGTTAACACATTTTCTTAAACATATTAGTCTAAAATAAGATTAGTAAATAAAAAAATAACATATGATACATCTGGTAATTTGAAATATATAAAGTAATTATCTTTTAAGAAGATGTAAATATATAAAGTAATTATCTTTTAAGAAATAATTTATTTACAAATAAAATTATATAAGATACTAAGAAAAATTTATAACTATATATAAAGTAATTATTTTTTAAGAAATAATTTATTTACAAATAAAATTATGTAAGATACTAAGAAAAATTTGTAACCAATTGTCACGTACGAAGTTATTAATAAAAGTAAAAGTTATCTTTTTATTTAATAGTTAACATATTTCTTAAAACACATTATTCTGAAATAAGATTATTTTCTAAAAAAATATATGATTTATCTTTTATTCAAAACGTATAAGGTAGTTTTTAAAGATTTAGATAATCAAATATTTTTTTATGCTTGGTTATATTAATTGTAGTACTAAGTTTTTAAAATTAATAACTTAAAAAATTTATAAAAAATGAAAAACAAATATGTCCATAATATTATAAAAATGGTTTATCTTACCATCGAGCACAAGAATCCCAGTTCTAAACTCATCGATTTTTGATATTGCTGATCATATTTAAATTACTTTATATTGCTCGAGAACAAAGAGAATAATTATGTGATAATATTACATAGATTGTCGAATATTCAATACGTTTTGTAATTATATATTATATAAGAGTATCGTATTAATTATCCTAATTTATATTTTTATCTTTCTTTAAACTATTTTTTGGACATATGTATTGGTGAATGAGAATTGTATATTTTTATTTATATTTGGATGTGTATATACGGAGGCACCGTTGGGAGAGAAAATTAGTTAGGGTTGCCGCGGACAAATTCCCCTGTTCTTACCACAAAAGCACAGAATTTTCTCTTCTTCACCCTTTCTCTCTCCCCTTTTTATTTATTTCTTTTGCTACTCAAATAATTCAACCCTCGTAATTAATTTTATTTAAAGTAAAAATAAATAACCACGTTATAAGTTATACGAATTTAATGAAATTAAAGTTAATTTAACATTCTTAAACGGATTAATTCATTTAAATTTTAAATAAGTTTATTAATTATTGATATCATAAATTAACAAAAAAAATGTTTAAACACGTCTAATTTTTTTTTAGCCATAATTAATTTCAAAAAAAGTAGAAGTTAATTAAACTCTCAATTTTTTTTGGATCTAATGGAAATTTTTTAATATAATTATTTTTTAAAAAATTAAAAAAAATTATATCGTAATTTTTTAACAGATATATCATAAATCGTTATGACTAAATTCAACTTGATCGTAATAATTTTTTGGGCTCAAATATATAATATATTTACAACAGGGTTATAAAAATATTTGTAAATATGATTAAAGTATTATGTTTATTTTATTATTTAATATTTATCAAGAAATTAAATTAATAGATATATTAATAATAAAATATATTTTAAAAAATTTAAAAGAAAATAAAAGTAAAAACGTGGAAAAATAAAAGAAGCGGAGATTAAAAAGAGAAAGATCACTGACGGACAATGAAATATCCCAAGACTCCTGTTAAGAACAATATCGCCACAAAAGCCGAGCCACATTGCGTGTATCTCGTCTCTTTCTCACGCCACGTTTCCCGATAAAATAAACTTCCGCTTACACCTACAATTACCAAAATACCCCTCGCCTTTTTCTTCTTCTTCTTCTTCTTCCTCCTCCTCCCGGTTCCTGTAACATTTTTTACATTTTCCCTTCAGTCAAAAAGTTATTAAGCACTGAATTGTACCACACGATCAGAACAAGACAGAATTTCGCTTGATTTTCTTCTATTTTTTAAGACTTTGTTTTGTATCTTTCTGTTTTATTTTCCCTAATTGTCAGAGATAATGGCGAGGTCTTCCTCGTCGACTGCTGCGGCGACAGCGACGGCCTTGCCGGCTATCAAGCCGGATGACTACGCTCACAGCCCGGTTCACTATGCTGTTGCGTTGCGTGACCATTCTACCTTGACAAGACTCGTCGCTAACGTACCTAGGCTCGCTGATCCTGCTGAAATTCGGACTGAGGCTGAGTCGTTGTGTCAGGAGCGAGTCGCGGATCAGATCTCCGCCGTTCTCGACCGTCGTGACGTTCCGTTCCGAGAGACTCCTCTCCACCTTGCTGTGCGCCTTAATGACACGTTCGCTGCTAAAACCCTTGCAGCCGCCGGAGCGGATGTTTCGCTACAGAACGCGGCGGGATGGAACCCCTTGCAGGAGGCACTTTGTCGCCGGAGCTCTGACATTGCGTTGATTCTTGTCCGGCTTCACCACCGGTCTGCTTGGTCAAAGTGGCGGCGCCGACTCCCACGCGTAATTGCTGTGCTTCGCAGGATGCGAGACTTCTACATGGAGATCTCCTTCCACTTCGAGAGCTCTGTAATCCCGTTCGTCGGCAAAATCGCTCCCTCCGACACATACAAGATCTGGAAGCGCGATGGAAACCTCCGCGCCGATACCTCCCTTGCCGGTTTTGACGGCTTGAAGATACAGCGGGCCGACCAGAGCTTCCTCTTCCTCGGCGATGGCGATCAGGTTCACAATGTCCCTTCTGGCTCCCTGCTCGTCCTCAACCGGGACGAACGCAAAATTTTCGACGCCTTTGAGAACGCCGGCGCTCCGATGAGCGAATCCGACATTGCCGGGTTTTGCTCGCAGACCAGCGTGTACAGACCCGGAATGGATGTCACTAAGGCAGAGCTCGTCGGGAGGACGAACTGGCGACGGCAAGAGAAGACGGAAAGTGTCGGGGAGTGGAAAGCAAAAGTCTACGAAGTCCACAACGTGACTTTCAGTTTCAGGTCCAGAAAGGTCACGACAAGTGAAAACGACGTCGCAGGAAGTGAACAAGTACTACCGTTGGAGCTAGACGAAGACGACGACGGGTTCTTGGTCGCAGAGAATCCGAATTTCGGACTCCTACCACCTCCCCCTGATCGGAGACGTCACAGCAGCTTCGTGAGGGAAGACAGAGATTGGATTTCAGTGGGGAGGAAGAGCGTGGACGTGTACCCGTCTTCAATCCCACATCATCCGCCGAGAAGATCATCGGCGGCGGCTTTAGCAGTTCCTGTGTCGGTACCGGTGGCGCCGGCGCCGCAGACGAAGGAGAAAGAGTACGTTAGGAGTTTACGACCGTCGGTTTGGTTAACGGAGCAGTTTCCGCTAAAGACGGAAGAGCTTCTGCCATTACTCGACATTTTAGCCAACAAAGTTAAAGCAGTGAGGAGGATGCGCGAGTTGCTGACCACCAGCTTTCCGCCGGCAACTTTTCCGGTGAAGGTAAACGTTGGGGTCCACTTTGTGGGTCCCATTACTCGTTCTTATTTAATTTTAATTTTAATTTTAATTTTTACTCTTTTTGGTTCTTTTTATGGCGCAAGCAAGGACCCGAACTTTGCTGGTCATAAGCGAAGAAGCAGCAGCCTCTCTGTGGGCCATAAGAACATATATTTGTCGGTGATGTAATGAGGGATTAGGGAAGGCTCCAAATGGTTTGTTTTTTATCCAACGGTGACCGCCGGTGGTGGGATCCATTCTATCCGAGGTTTTACCCGACAGAGACCGGGACCCCCTGCTGGGTCCCTTCTTTATCCCCCTTTTATTTTCCTGATTTCCTAAAAATAGTATCTCCCTCATTCCGCCACGTGGCAAGATCACAATCGTCGGACACGAAGGCACCCACCTTTATTACACAACACGATCCGCGACCGTTAAAACTCTAGATTTCTAAGAATAATAAAGTAGTCGTAAGACCGGGGTCCCGCTCGATTAACTTGATTGATCTGATGTTTGGGAAAGTATAGTTTAAATCAACGGTGTATGATTGGTTTCCTTTTTTTTTTTTTTTTTCCCTGGTGGGGACAGATTGCAATTCCTGTGGTCCCTACAGTGAGGGTGGTGATCACGTTCACAAAATTTGTGGAGTTACAGCCAATTGAACAGTTCTACACTCCACTCTCAAGCCCTAGACTCCTTGCAAATGGAGGTAGAAGCCAAGGAGATGAAGACCAAAAATCAAACACCCATTACTCATCATGGCTATCTTCTTCGTCTTCGTCGTCATCGTCTTCGTTCTCGACATCAACATGGCTTCGACGGAATAATTCTCAATCCGTATCGACGAGCAAACAGCCAAACGGATTTTCTTCTACTACAGCCGATCCATTTGCCATACCGAGTGGGTATACATGGACAAGCGTGGATGACAACAAGTCAGCGAAAATGAAGAAATCGAAGTCTACCAGGAGATCGACGACCAAGCAAGGAAGGTGAATTTGACTTGAGTAGGGAAAGGGGGGGAGGGGGAAAGGGAGAAAAAGAAAAGTGAGGGAAAGGGGGATAATGGATTTTGGAGGGGGGGAGGGGGGATTGAAATTACATTTGTAGATATGCCATCTTAATCCTTCATATGGTAGAGATTTTAACATTTTTATTTGGTTTTATATTTTGAATTTTCCTAAATTACATGATATCAAACTAAAAAAAAAAAAAAAAAATTATTCAATTAAGCCAAATTACAAAGGGTGAAATTCTCTCTCTCTTTTTTTTTTTAATTCACTGTTTTTAAAATAATCAATGGTAAGGTTAGAACATATTTTCAAATATCATAATGAAGCATGCTGTGGGAAGAATGGTGGTGTTTGTGACTCCAATGATTGTGAAGAATGATTGGGTATAATGTCTGTTTACAGGAGATAGATATATCTTTCTCCTATATCTATATGTGGAAAATACTTACATATGAATCAACATTCTAACTGTAAAGACTTTTGGAAAATAACATGAGGGTTCACTAGACTTCTTTCATTGAAATATTTATAATACCTTTAAAATTTAATCAACTTTTTAATTTTAAAAAGAATAAAAATTAAATTTTTCTTTAGGGTAGTAATTATTTTAACTAAAAAAATTTAATTATCATAAAATATTTTTTAAACATAAATATATTATAGTTCGTTGAAATTAAATCAAATTTAGTTAATTCATAATGAACATAATAATTTTATGTTTTTAATTAAATTTTAACTTATAACATTTAAATAAAACATAAAAATTATCGTATTAATAATTTTATCGTTATACATTTTAAACTCGTTCATCTTTAAATAAAACCCGAAAATTTTTACTACTATACCCCTACACTAATGATTTTAACCTTGCATATTTGAAAAAAAAAAAAAAAAAAAAAAAAAAGAAAAGCAGCCTTAGCATGTTGCTGTGTATATTTTTTATTGTGGGGACAGGAAAGTTGGGAAGGATTGAGATGCTAATTGGGTTAAAGTGATAAAGAAATGAACACTACAATATATATATGTACATGTATATGTATGTATATATATATAGCAGTAGCAGTGTATCAGTTTTAAAAGAAA